GGATCACTTTCACAAAGGGAACTTCGAAATGGTATTAATAATGTATTTTTTTATTCTTCTAAAAGGGATGTGCTTGATGCTAATTAATCATAAATAACAGATAATTAATCTTAAAATCCATTTTGTAAGGAGAAAAATTCTGATAATACTCCATCTTAATTAAATTTAATTTAAGACAATTCAAAAATTTGATTTAATTTTTTATTGACTAAATAGTCTGTTTTTAAGATTTCACCATAAACAACTAGAGAATCAAATTTTAATTTGAATTCAATTAATTATAAATTTAATGTTATTGCTGGTTTAATTGATTAGACCATTGATATAGATAAACCTAATGCACCTAATAAATATCCTGCTAAAAATAACCATGATCCAAATAAAAATGCATAATTCCATATTTAAGGTAATCTTAAATTATAAATTCTTGATGTTAATGAACTATTTTAATATCTCTTTTTAAATTTCTACTTATTATTTTTAAGAGCATTTGATCCACTAGTGGATTAAAGAAAATTTAAATCTTATTTAGCTTTGACAAAGTTTGATTCAAATACATATTTAACAAAATTTGTTTATTTCCATAAGACTTATTTTGGATCTTTTAAAATAGTTTTAATTTCATTATAAATTTTATTAATTTGATTTACATCATCTTCACTTAATTTTGTGATTAAAACTAAGATCTTTCTGATTAATTAGTTTACATCTTATAATACTTTAATAATTAAAAACATAAAGGCTGTTATAACACTAAGTTCTGCAACAACAACATAAATAAGTGCATTAACAATTTATTATTCATAAAATATTAAATTATCATTCAAATAATTAATATAACTTTTACTTACTGTAATTACTTAAACCATATTTAATTTAAAAAATAAATTTAATGATACGAATTTTTCATCTAATTCTTTTTAGATTTATTAATTTAAAGTAATTGAATTTGATGATATCTATTCTAATAATATTGTTAAATCAAATGCAATTTCGAATTATTATAAATTATTAATAATTTTGAGATTATCATTTAATGGTATTACTTAATTTTCAAAAGTAATGATATCTTCATAAATACTTTTTAAGTCACGTTCAATATTCAAAGCTAAAGTGTTAAATTCAGTTTTTAATCCATCATTAACTAATGAACTATAGTTTACGAACTCTAATTTTTAATGAAGAATGTTTGATGAAAACATTAATGTTTTTAAAAAGTAATTATTGATTTTTTCAGGATATTAAACATAATTTAAATTAGTTTAAAGAATACCAAATTAATCTGAAAATAATTTAAATAATTACCTTAAACTATATAAATCTTAATGAAAACCAATATCAGAGCAGTTAAGCAAACAACAATATTCAATATTATAATTAACCAAATTTATGTATTAATTTCACCAAATTGATATAAAGATCTAATTAATAGATATGGTGACTTTGATGATGATGTTTTTGTTGAACTAGGTTTAGAAGATTATTTATTTTCATGATCTTGAACTTCCTAATTATTTAAATTTTTTCTTAAAATTTCAAGAATATCATTTTTCTTTTTTTTTTATTAATCTTTTGAACTATCAGACTTTTTTTCTATTAATTCAGAATCATATTTTGGATCTTCAAATTATTCCTATTCTGGTTATTAAACATTTATTTTACTTTCTTCAATATCTTATACTAATTATTAAAAGTCTTAATCTTCAATCCTAGATATTTAAGGATTTTCAAAGACAACTTTTGATTCATCTTATTATTTTAACAATTTAGAATTAGAAGTATTATTTATTTCCATTATCTATTCTAAAAGATGTTAATCTGATGGACCTTTTATATCAGCAGTTTCATTTAATTGATCAGAATTTTGTTAATATCGACTTATAAAATTTTTTGTATTAGTCGAATCTATTCCAGTTTGTGATTCCCCATATTTAAGAGCCATTAATGTTCTTCGAATAGACTTTTTATAAGGAATAATTGAACTTGAATCTGATCTTTCAAATTCACTTATAGGTTCTAATTTTAATACAAAATATGGATATCTCTCCTTTTTTGTTTCCATTATCTGAAATTCTAAATTATATTTAATTTTAAGTATATCACATTAAATGTTTTGTTCATCATGATATTTTGATAAAAAATCCAAAACTTAATTCATCCTTTCTACTTATAACATAGGAATATTTAACCCTTTGATTTTAACTTAATCTTCTTGATTATTAAAACTCCTTGCAGATATTGCAGAGGCATGTGATGCTAATTAAGATTTAATAGTAGTTAAATTATAAGATGATAATTTTTAATCATATTTTTATCTATCATTAAATACCTATCCAAATTATAAAAAAATATCTAATAATTATTCTGGGAAATATGCATAATCTACAAATTCTGTCTCAATATCATTTGCTAATTTCTTTAGATTAATTAAAATGAATGGCATTAACATAAAAATATGTCCTTGTTCTACAAATCTTTCCATTGTTATATTTGGATTATTAGGCAAAATCCTTTTTTCAAAGAAATCTTAACTAGAACCAATAATTTTGCCATAACTATCAAACATAATTACATCATATGAGGTTTATAATCTAAGAATTGAACCAGTTAAAACAAAATCAGAAGAATCTTAAAATAAATTACCTAATTTAATATAACATTCTTTTAAATATCCTTATTTTTATAAAAAAAAAGAATGAATGCTTTAGACTGAATATTTAGTGTATCCCTTTGATATAAAGTCATTTAATTAGGCATCATGCAATGTTCTTAAATCAGGTGGTAAAAAAGATGAGATAAGAGTTTACTAAAATATTAGGATAATTTATATACAGCTGCTATATCTTGAACATTTTAAAATTAAAAGAAATTTGCTAATGTTAATAAATTCTTATTAACAATATGACCCTTCTTTCTTACAAGACTCACCAAAATAATTACAGCCTCATCTTTTAATAGAGCACAATCATCAATAACTTCAATTGATTTCTATCTATCTTCTTTTATAAGTTCTTCAATTTATTTTTCTGCTTAAAATGCCTAAATTGAAATATTAATAATACTCTATCAAAATCATTTAAAATAACAGAATATAGAATAGAATATAATTTTAAATTTAGTATATTGATATTTCTATCTTCTGGATCTAATGTTTTAAGTACAGTTTATAAACTTATATCTTTTGATCTGTCAAAAAACACTTCTGGAATTATTATTGTGGCTTATTTATAAATCATATTCACTTACATTTAATTCTCTTATACAATTCATCTATAGATTTGCATAATTAAAGCTATTCTTTATGAAATGGTTCTAAATCATCATAACCTTCTATTAAATTATCCCAAAATTTTTATTTTTTTTCTATGACTTCTATTATTTTAGGAGTGATTTCTTAATAAAAGTTAACACTCCTCCATAGTTATGCAATAGTTAATTTTTCCTCTCTTGCCATATATCTTTCTTTTCTAAATTACTATTATATCATTCTCTCCTAAAGATACAAAATTGCAAACTCTAATTCTGCTGAAATTTTGGATGTCAATTCTCTAAAATATAAGGAATTATCACTATTTTAATCTTATTAATATTTTCTTAATTCAACATAAGCAATTAATGGTCTTTAGGCTGTAGATGATAAAAAACTAATATATTATAATTGTAATTGTTCAAATTTAGGCTTATGTATTTCTCCATTTTTCACTACTGTTCTACTATGACAAGTCTTAAATATACAACTTACTACATCTATTGTTAATTTCTATAATTATATTTTATCATTAAAATTGAGTTTTGATAATTTAGATTTTTAAGATGGACATTTGAGTCTTAAACAATTCTCATTATGTTTAATCAATTATTAAAAGTAAGTTAATTTATTGTATTCACTTGTTTAAAAATGAATAAAATGACTATAAAATTAATCTACTCCAATAATTATATATTTCTCTTATAAATTGAAACGAGAATTGTAATTAGTCATTGCAAATTCATGAAATAATGAACTTATTGAAGTTGAAACTCCACTCATTAATCCAGCTACAAACAAAGTCCAAAATAATTAACCATCTACTATTGTCTCTAATGAAAACAATAAACATATGAATATGCTACTAAAAAGTACCATAGCTACTTTTAATGATGGTTCTCGAAATGGATCTCGATAAGGACAGCTATAAAATTAATCGACTATTTATAAAAATGCATATGCAAATCCAAATACATATTTAACAAATACAATTTCTTAATAAAATCTAAAAAATATTAATAAGTAACCAATTGTATAATTAAATAATTGTACATATGCAAATCTTCTTTTAAAGGAGTTATTTTCTGCAAATCTATGATTTCTTAATAGATATATAAGTATTATTCCTTAACAATATTATAATATTGCATTAAAATATCCGAAAATATAAAACTCAGTTAACATAAATTTGACACTAATTACAATAATTGGTATTGTGAAGATGCTGTAAAAAGTAAAGTACCAGTGCAAAATTGAATTAACTGATTCTATCTTTTTCTCTAAAATTAATCTTAATTTAAAGTTTAAAGCTACTCTTTAAGTTTCAAATGTTGCAATAAGTAGATAAAATAGTAAAATGATTTAAAAAGCAAAAATCACAAATAGAAATATTTTACTTAATTCATCTGTCAACATAGGTTCAATTAAAGAGAAATGTGTCAATACAACAGCATAATCAAATGCCTAATCTGATGATCTCTCTAAAAATAAACCTAATATTTGAACATGATGCAAAAGATGGGGGATAATAAAAAACTCTTGAGGAAACTTTGGAATAATGATTATCATACTTAAAAACGAGGTTTATACTCAATTGCAAATAGTATAGTTTTAATGTACCCACTACAAAATTCTTTTATCTTGTTCATCACTATCAAGATTTAAAAAAAAAATTATTAAAATATATAATATATATAGATTTTTGTCTTTACAAACTAATAAATTACAATCATTAATAGGTTAAACAAATACATCAATTTAATGAAGAAGATTATTTTATATTAAGTGTAAACCTAGAAGAATTGTAGTTTGTATTTAATCTAACAATTTTGTTCTTGTTAAGAGGAGAAGATGAATAATTGTCATATGTACCAACATCATATTTTCTTCTACTTGTTTTACTTGTCTATTTTTATGACCTAAAATTAATTTATATTATTTATTACTCCTTATATTAGATAAGTGATCTTGCTTCTGCTAAGAGATAGGCTTTAATCATTAAAAATCTTTATCTAATAATTTGTTTTCTTTCTGAAGTATTTTTAAGTAAAATAGCACAGAATTTATTTTTTTTAATAAAAATAGGTAATCTATAACTTAAATAAATTTTGATTGAATCAATCTAGACTTACAATTTTTCAAAATAAGCAAAAAAGATTTTATAAATGATTTTTAAAGTGAATGCAAAGTTAATTACAGCTAGGATTGTGTAAGATGGCAAGATTACTTCACTAATACTTAAATTTTATGCTGTAAATATCAGTGATGCTAATAAAATTGAAATTTTGCATATTGAAGTTTATAAAGAATCAATATTATTTAAATCTCCTATTTAATAGGGTTTATATTAATTTGTAAGCTAACCATAAATATGTAAAATAAAAAAGATTAATAATGCTTTTATTGGAATATAATCTTCATAATAAATTAAAACTAAAATAATAAATTCCTTTGACATTATTTTAATAGTCTCCCAATAATAACTACTTAATTTATATTCATTGTATAGATATCCCCAAACCTTTCTTATTTTAGGTTCATCTAATCGTTTCCTATAATAATAGACTATAAACCAAAAAAATAAAGGTAATATTACACCTATTACTAAAAAGGCTGGAGTAACAAAAATGATTAGCCATTTATAATGCAAAGATGTCTCATATTAGTGAGCTACATTTGCTGAAATCCATTTAATATTAGATATGCTTCTATATGATAATAAAGATATCAAGCCTCCAAAGAGATTTGGAGATAAATAGATGTAAATATATATTAAGGTAGTTACTATAAAAGTGATGGTAAGTTATTATTTATTTATGAAAACTTATAAGATTAAGTGAATGAACAAATATGTAAAAATGTATATTCCGATCATAAAGAATCCCCAAACCAATCTAAGATAATGAATTGGTACTTCACTTGCTTGAACTAAATAACAATCTAAAGAGAATGCCATAGATTCAATAGGATTACCAACTGATGTAAAAGCTAAAGTTATTCCATTAGGTATAGATAATTAAAAAGTAGCTATAGAACTAATAATTTATAAATAATTTGTAAACACTTTTATTAATACTGAGGTTGATGCTGATTCGAATAAGTAAAATTTACCTAAAGTTCTAAGTCTTGTATATTTAATCAAATCTTCAATCATTTTAAGAGTACTATTAACAGATAAGAATACTGATAATAATGTCCAACAAATGACAATAACAATATTAACTAAATTTCCAGCCATATCCTCACAACTATAACAAGCATACTTATTACTTTATGAGTATTATCCATTTCCTGTCAAATCATATAAATCACATTATTCACATAATGCTCCTATATGACCCAAAGCACAAGAAGAATCTCCTGCAAACCAACCTCCTAAACAATTTAAATGTAAATGATAACATTCTTCAATATAATTACTATAATAAAATGCTCTCCAATATCCTGGTCTTAATTCAATCATGGCTGGTTATATATTTTTCATTTTAATTTCATCTTTGGTATCACATTTAGAAGCATTAAATGAAACAGAATATTAATTTTATGAAATATCACATTATACACATCCACCTGATATGATATTTAAATATTCTCCTAATTAACATTTAAAAGTTCTAAGTTTTAATAATAATAAATAATTTTTTATGACTGAAGTAATACTATATGGAAATTCTTCACTATATTATGGTATTTGAACTATTTTACATCTTATTGCTAATTAAAGATTATACTAATCTTCTTCAATTGGATTAAAATATATAATAAGATTATCAAAATTGAAATCTCCTGTATCAGTATTAAATTATTATTTATTATTAGATAAATATCGAGATGTCTCTTTTTCATCTATTTATAAATTGTTATAATCTTATACTATAGAAGTATCAATTTTAGAAGCAAATATTTAACAAGTAGATTCACTTAAATTTGACATTTTTTCATTGATTGAATTTGTGGCTACTATTCTAAAATGCAAATTATATGGAATATATTAATTTGTACTTGAATCAAAATATTAGTATTCTGCTATAGGGATTCCTGAAGGATATAATAATACTTTTGATTATTCAATTGAACCATAATATGAATAAGGCTAAATAAGAACTTAATCAATTATTGTGGTAGTATTTTTTAAAAGAATTTGATTATTTTAGATAATATTTTATTTTTGGGAAAATTAAAGTTAAATTGGATATTCAAAAATATTATTAGCAAATTATTTACCTATATTGTCTTTTAATAATAAATTGAAATCCTTATGTTAATTAATATATTCATCACTTACATATATACCTCCTGCTATTTAAGCAGAATTATTTAATATTTCTGTATTAGTTAACAAAAGTTTATTTTAAGTAGAAAAAAAATAAATTGCACCTCCACTTTTTTAAGCAAGATTATTTAAGAATATACAATTATCTATATAAATATTTAAATTAGCAAAGAAACTCCCTCCTCCATATGATGCATTATTATTTTTAAATAAACTATTAGTTATTTTAGCAGAAATATTAAAGTCTACATAATTCTCTAAAAGGTTTATATTTCTTTCTGACAAAAGTCTTGAAGATTCAGAAAAATCAAGCATACTTTCATCAAAATTATTTAAGATTGATAAACAACCTATTATTCCACAAGTATTATTTTACATAATTATTTCATTGATTTTTAAATTTACACTATTAAATTCAATTTATTAAATTGTAATTAATCCATAATAACAATTATAACAAAGATTTAATGATATATCCAAATTAAAGATATTTATTTGATGTTATTAAGTAAAATCTTTAAGTTCTACTAAAGCAAATTTATTCGAGATTTATGAATATAACATATTTAGATTGCAATTCAATTAATATGTTAGATCATCCTATTAAAATTCAATTTCAGGTTTATAAATAATTTTATTATTATCTATTGGACATACTAATTTATCAATCTTCTCTTTTTAATTATTTTTACATGGAAGAATATCAGAATTAATGTATTGAGTTATTTATTATATATTTATCTTTCTCATTACCAATTATCCTGGTAGATCTAAAATATTATTATATATATATTACTGTTTAATAATGATATTTTTATTAAAGGTGAATTGAAAACTTAACAATTTGAAACAGTCACATTTTCTATTAAAATATCTTTTCCATTTTCTATTTACATTAAATTTGCATAATGAATTTAACTAAAAATTGAATTTAATAATGTAAAATCACAATAATAAATGTGAATTGAAGGATTGTCTATTTAATATGGATAAATTTCTTATGTTGATAAATCTTCAACTAATTTTATATATTAATTAAACTCTGATTAATTATTCTAAAATCTTGAATTATTGAATATTATTTTTGATTATATTGATGATTATTAATTTGGAGAATATGTCATTATTGAGTATTTAAAAGAAAATGATGATATAAATGAAACATTATTTATTGTGATTTAATTTTCAATACGAGATGGATTGATAAATATAGCACCACCCTCTGTTCTAGAATAAGATCTAAAGATTGAACTATTCTCTAATTTAAAATCCAATCTACTATTTTGAGCATCTATATATAATAATCCGCCTAATGAAAATGAATATCCATTTAAAATTGTTTAAGTACTAACAAATTATGAATTTATAATTTAAATTTCTCCCTAAGAGGTAGTTGCAATATAAAAGCCTCCTCCTTAAAGTGCAATTGAATTATTGATACTACTATCTAAAAACTTTAATGAATTCACAAATAAATTCCCATTTCCACCTAATGAAAGAATTTGGAAAATTTTATCAAAGGGTAATTCTAAATTGTTTTAATTTAAATCTAATAGGATATTTTTTCTTATTAAATCTATATTTAGTTTATTCTAATTAATAAAATGACAATCTTGAAATATGAGATTTTATGTTTTAATAAACATTACTGAATCTGAGGAATTAGTTAAAATATTAGATGTAAAATTAGTATTTGATAAAATGATTTCACCTTAAAATGTTTCAATTAATATGGTAGTAGATGAATGTAATTATACTTCATCTTCATATTTATTCAACCAATTATTTATAAAATTAACATCTTCAAATTTTATATATGTTTATTACTAAGTTTTAATTGAAATAATAGTAGAATAAACGTTTAATTTTGTAGTTATAAGGAAATTATCTTTAAAATAACTATTCTATATCATAATAATTCCTGATAAGACTTATTCTGTTAAACTTTATCCTTCAAAAAGAATTAAAGGATAATCTTTAACAATTAATTTGTTAATTAAGATTTCCATTAAATAAACTTAATGAAATTAACCAATATATAATATAAAATAGAGATCCAAATAGTTATATTGACTTATACAATTAAATGAAGAATGTAAGAATCTATCTTTATTATGTAATTAATCATATTGTTCTACATTAAAATTTTAAATTAATAAGTTAGTTGATTTCATAATTGCAATCTCTGGATTACCGACACCCCTTTTAATTTCTATATCTAAAAATTAACAAGATGAACATTCAATATAAATTAAAGCCTATTTATAGGATGTAAAATAGAAATATTAAGTACCAGAATCTAATTTATAATAATTATTATTAGAAAATAATAAATTTTAAATTTTAAAAACAATGTTTTCAGTTTCAAATCGTCTTATAAGATAAATAAAAGATTTTTCATTTGAATATTTATTGTTTATTAATCTGATTCCATATATTTCAAATGTTTTAGTGTTTTTATATTCATTGATTTAATAAGTATTACTTTATTAATTAGATATAAAGTAACTTGAATTTAAAAAAGTGTTTTCAAGAGAAATTTCATTTATTGTAAAATTATTTGATAAAAGAAATGCTGAGTTATCATTCATTATTATATTTTTAAGAGTAAAATTAGTAAGTGATAGATTTTAACAAGATAATAAATAAATAAAAGTAGATTAATCTTTTAAAATAACATTTTCTAGATAAAAATTTCTTAATTCGACATGTTCAATTTAATATGACTTTTCAAATTCTAGGTTAATAAAAAATGAGTTTTATGTAAAATTAGTATCGATTATACTCACATTTTCAAATAATATTTAATATTTGAGATTATAGGTTAGAGCATTAAAATAAAATAATGTTGTATTCTTAAATTCAGAATTAGATAACTTAAAATTATGAACAATTAATGAAGATATAATAGTATCATCTGTAGGTTATAAATTAAAGATTTTACTCTATTAAACTTATAAATTGTATAAATTTAAGTTTAATAATTTTGTATGTTGAGGTCTGTTACTTGTAATTGTTAGATAATTAGGAATTGCTATTTTTTTTTAAGTAAAACTACAATTTTCAAATGTTATCATTATTGTATCAAATTAATTATTTATTTAGAACACAACATCAACAACTTTTTATTCATATGATATTGCATATAAAACAGATTAAAATAATATGTTTTTAAATAGCACAGATTTATAATTATTTATGTATAAGGGACGGCTTTATAAAAATGCACATTAATTTGATTTAGAGTAAACTTTTATATTAACCTTTGCCAAATGGAATACATTTTTTTATAAATTAGTTTATATCACTGAGTAGAATCCTGCCTCTTAAATACATGGCTATTAACATTTCATTTCTAAATCATATGTAAATTCTTGAATTGTTTGTTCATTCAAATAAAGAAATAGTTCTGATTTTTCATATGTTAAAAGTTCTCCCATAATGAATGTATTAAGGAATGATAAATTTTGTTTTTTTTCTAAATCATTAGGATCAGTATAATAATTGGAACAATATATATTGTATCGACTTACAATAGATTTATTGCATTTATTCAAATCTTTGCAATTAATAACATTTAAAGTAGTAGGAATAATATTGATTATATCATTTTGAGACTCTGATTTTAATAAGCATTTATTAGTAAAATAATTATAAGGAGAATCCATATTAAAATATCCATTTATTTTTTTAATTTCTTCTGTGCTCCTAGGTATACAAAGTGAACAATAAGGAGCACACATTTAACAATTGTTTAATTATCCACTTACTAAACTTCTTACTGGTCCATATTAATTTGCTCTACATTTAAAACATTTTGCAAGTATTTTAGGTTCTTGATTTTATTCAATAATTCTACAATCCAAACAATCTTCGCTGCATCCTGAATAACAGATATTTTTATGTAATAAATAGTTATTATAACATTAAAGACATAATACTTGTAATTATTCTTTGATAATTCCATAGTATTCAAAATCATTATCTTCTTTAGATGGATTTAAAACATATAAATAAAAAGCCTTAATTTCTGATTTCCAATAATCATTCCTATCACCATGCTATTAGACACATACTTTACAGGATTCTGGACATGATTAACAAATACCTGTTAGCCATTCTGAATAATATCCATCTTAACATACTACACAAAAATTCATTATTTCAATTGTGTACTTCTTAATACATTAATAACAATTTAGCATATCTGAACAATCAATATTTTAGATGGACGTAGTTAATAAAGTACTTTTTAAACAAATAAAATTATCTTAATAATCATAAACTCCTGAATCACAATCTTTTGTATCTTCTGATTAAATTTCACATTTATTTGTTATAAGGGAAAATGCATAACCTGGATAACATTCAGCACATCCAATAAAAATCTAATATTAATCATAAAAGCCTAAATAAATTGAGAATTCAAATGAAGTATAATAATATCCTTACCAATATAAATATTCAAAACAATATTTACAATGTTCTATTGAACATATTCCACAACTTTATCTATCTAAACGTACATAGTATTTAGTTTCGTTAAAGCAAGTAAAACATTAATCTTAATTGCAAGTTTAACAATATAGGCCACAATTATAACATTTCTTATCTTTCCAATACTGAAGTGGTTTACAAAAAGCAGCTAATAGACATATTTCTTCATTATTTTCTGTTGAACAAAGTCTACAATTTTCACATTCTACACAATTTCCAAATAAAGATTTTTTATATCCCATATAACATTAAGTACATAAATAAGTAGATGGTCCATTACAAAACTAACAATTTTCAATACATGATTGGCAATTATTATTTTCATCCATATATAAACCTGATTTACATTTGTAATTTGTTAAGCCTGCATTAATTTATAAATAGTGCTTATTATCAGCAGTTATATGCATTTAGTACCTCAAATAAATATAATATATACAATTATTTTTCATCAATATATTTCCAATCACGAATGAATATTTCACTTTCTGAATTAGACAAATATTTTTCCTCACATAAAAGAGTAGATGCAAATGAATCAGGGTAAATTAAACAATTTGAACAATCCATTAAGAATTTGTAATTCTCATTCAATGGACTTAATATTAATTTTATAAGTTACCATTTTATACATTATTTATTGTATTAAAAGTATCCATATTCACATAATATATTTTATTTATCACAATTAAAATAACCTTCAAAATAACATTCATTTTCTTAATATATTAATTATAAAGTCTAAATCTCTTCCAAATAATCTAATTATCTATTAATTTATTACTTTAACAAACTGGATTTCCAGGTATCTCATAGAATCCATATTCACAGAGACAAGAATATCCTAAATCAGAATAAAGTCTATGAGAATTTATAGGACAACTTAAACAATCAAAATTAGTAGGTCCTTTACAAGTTAAACAAGTGTAATCACAAGGAATATCTAAAGTTGAATCAAATTCAAAGCAAAATGTTTACAATTTCCAATTACTTAGATATCCTTAAAAATTGTGATATTATATATCATCTCCACCTAAATAATAATATAGCATAGTATTCTTAAAATAATGTATTTCTTAATCCCAAACAATTTAAGTATGTGTATCTTCACTTGGAAAATAGATTCTATAAATAGGTTATCCTTAATTTAAATTAGATCCAACTTCAAATTGAAAGAAATGCCATTTATTTAAAAGTTCACTATACTTTTTATCAAGTACTTTTTGAATTACTCCTGGAGATGTTATATAAGTTTTTGATTTGATAGGCATATCATAACTATAAGTATGTATTTCTATTCCAAATAAATCTTAGTATTCATTTTAAATATAAATAACATATAATAGTTTATTTCCAATCAAATTATGATCACTCTAGTCTTGATTAATTGATAATCTAAATAAAATTTGATTTTTAATTATTGAATATCCAGATTTATCTTGTTTAACCCAACCTGATATTTTATATTAATTTCTTAATATTTCATACTAACTAACTCCATCTACTATATGATCTCCATTAAAGTATTCAATACTAGTTAATATTTCTATTGTTTCAGTATTGCAAATAAATACTGCATTACAATTTTCCAGAAAGTAATTTAAATTATCAAAAACATTAATATCTGTCTGAAAAACTTTAGATATTTTTCCTGGAAATATATTAAAATTCAAAAAATTATTGTCTATTCCAATAACATTAAAGCCACCTGTATAATCATACATTACATATGTAAAATCACCATTCCATGTAACTTCTTTAATTTAAAAATCATTTTAGTTGAAGGAATAAAGATACAATTTTATTTATCCATTCTTAATATAATAATAAAATAATATCCAATCTCCATCAATTGTATATAAATTAATATTAAATTAATAATATTACCATTATAGCTCATCTGGATTTGGATTTTTATTTTTTATATATATATTAAACGATATTGTATTGTCTTGTAAGTTTAATTCTAAAAATGCTAGTAAAACATCATCAGCCCATTGACTTTTTAAAAGTGAATAAATGAGATATTTTACTGAAATGTCTCCATCATTAATTTCTACTATAAATTATAACTATACATGCTTCATTCTAGTTATTCATAGGAAGATAATTGATCCATAAACCTTTGTTGAATTCCAGACCATCTCCAATATCAATAATATTATTTTCTTCAATTAGAGTCAATTGGCTTGCAAAATCAACATCAACCCAAAATGTTTAAGTATAATAAGTACATTAGGTATTAATCAACCTTATTAAACATCAATTAATACTTCAATATATGCAAGATAATAATGTATTTTTAAATCATTTAATTAATATAACAATTATTTTTGAATGGCCAATAAAGTCTCAATGTTACTTAGTAATTAATATATATATATAAATTTAAATTTACTCATTTCAAAATTGTAATCATTTCCTATTATTTACACTATTTTCCAATAATCTTTGATATTTCCTAAAATACCACTCTTAAGAATTAAATCATTTTTAGATCATAAAAACAACTGTGATTCTCAAATTTTAACTAGATAAACTGAGTAGTACTAAATATTAAAAGAAAGTACGGAGAGTATTTAATTTAGAATGCATATAAACAAATCAAATAATAAACAATGATAATTAAAATATGCTTATTTCTGATTAAAACGATGACTGATTCCACAACCCTTTAAATTCTTAATGAAAATTAATAAAAAGCATGACTTATTAGATTTCATCTCTATGGTTGCTTAGCTTCTTCTAATATTTCTTGCCCCATTATATAATTTCAATATGGTTGGCATTATGATTAAAATATGCTATTTGCATTTTACAATTGAATTAAATACTTAATTTACTTAGTAATAAAATCAAGTATCCTAAATTCCTATTGATCTCTATATTAATAGTAAGAATCCAAAACTACTCATATGGTTAGCACAACAATTAATAAATTATCTCTTATTTCTTCATTAAAATCTTAAGATATATTTCGATATGCCCACATCTAACTTTGTCATTTATCTTATTTAATAATAAATCTATAGTTTATCACTATATCTTTTTTAAGCATATCTTCAACAACATGATTAATTAATTAAATTCATCCAAATTTTTTATGATTCCTTTAATTATAGACATTACAACAATTTAAATACATTTAACCACCTCTCTTTATCCGTATATTTCAACCATAATGAAAAGATGCAGTAAAAGCATCAAAATATCTTAATCAAATGAGAAATATTCAAAGACTTCATCTTTTTTGCCGATCTGCAATATTCATTTAATAACTATTCAAATTTTCGATTTACAATCATATAAGATATATAAATGAATTGTCTCAAAAGTGATAATATTTATTCTTTTGCCTGCTTATCTGAATCTCTTTTTAAATATTTAAATAATATCTTAGGAATTCAATTATTTTATTTTACTATTGACTCTATCTTACTTATTTAACTATTATTTCTACATAAAGCTTTATATATATGCCGATTACTTATTTTCAGATATTCAATTAAGATAATTTAATTTTAGATGTGCTAAAGATAATACCTCACATCCTAATGGTTTTACAATCAATGGTAATTATTAGATACCATCTTTAATATTTATATCTTCTCCTACATCTTTAATTCGATTTAAAAATTATTAATTAGCAATATGAGTATAAGAACCAAAAATTATAAGGCTACAATATTATTGTCTTTATTGGATTCATCTACTCCTTAATAATTAATTTCTAAGTTACTCTAAATATTTATTTTTGAGTCTAAGATTAAATTTCAAAATTATGGATATAATGATCTTCTTAATTCATATATTTTATAAATAACTTAATTAATTATTATATCATATTTTTATTCAGTAAACTATCTCAATACTTAATTAAATTGATTTTATGATCAAAATTACAAATTGCTTTTCATTAAATCAAGAAAATATTAATTATTTTAAAAGATATTATTAAAAATATAATCAGATAGCCTAGATGAATGTACTCATTTTTTATGTAGTTTCACTACTCTTATGCTCATCATTAATAAAAAGAAAATCTAATTTATTTAATAATTATTACATATAATTAATTAATAATATGGGATAATATTCAAATCATAATAATAATTATAATTATTATTATAGAAGTTAGGAAAACTATGGAAATGCATATTTAAATTTTTATTATATGAAACTTTGATTATAATTAACTAAAAGATTAAAAATGATTGGCTGGTAATGCTAAATTAAATTAAATAATAATAAAAGTAACTAGAAATAATTGATATCTAATTTTATATACATGTATAAATTAATCAGAATATCATTTGTTAATATTCTTCAACATTTATTGTCTTTTATTAACATTCTCTAATTCAATTTGTAGATTTAATAGATTTATTAATGGAAATAATTAAAAAACTTATAAATGAAATATAATAATCCTAATCAAAAGGATAAGAGTTAGTTATTGATCATTTTCTTATTGGTTACTTAATTGGAAGAGGTGAAATTAATTCAATTGAAGATATTAAAAACTTAATTCAGCAACTTAAAGAAATCAATGAATAAATGGATGAAGGTAAGATTTCATCTTTTTCAAGAGATTATTTTATTAACCAAAAATTAATGTTACCAGGAATATTTTCTTAAGATTCTTAATTATTAGTTTAATAATAAAAGGAAGAAATCAATGATCAAATCATTCAAGATGATTATTAATAAAATACTCATAAATATGATGATTAATAGAAAAAGGAATAAAATAAATAATAAATTACATAAACTCTATTATAAAATTAAAATTTAGAATAAAAAGATGAAATAAAAGATAAGAATAAGGAACATTTAAAGTAATCTATAAAATAATATAATAATTACATTTAAAAGGTTGTCTAGAATTCAAAACATAATTAAAAGTAGAATTGATATTATAATTATAATATTCACATACTTGTAGTTACATTCAAATAGTTTTCTAACTATTAAAATGACTTTTTTTTATTTTATATAGAAATTTGTATAGATTATTTCTTTTAAAAATAATTGGGCTTAAATATTGGTTAACTTAATCGTTTTTCTGATACATCGAAATCAGTTTTTAGTTTTTAAGGAGTTGTATTAGTTTTCTTAGTTGGTTTTTTCTAATCGACTATATTTGTCAGATTTGTCATTATAGTATTATCTATAGTTGAATATTTACTAATTGACTAAATTTAATTATAACTTTTTTATACCTAATTATCAATTTTTTATAATTAAGCAGTTAAGGATTTACATTTCTAATATAATTCTTCATTCTCTCTTTTAAATTTCTATATACATAATAAAATAAGATTTACAATAATGATATTCTTTGTATTATTTAAAAATTCATTTCTACTACTCTCTAATTCATCAATTCTAGATTTTAAATCATCACATTGTTATTGCATTAAATATTAATCCTAATATTGTCATTATAATTTATACTCTAATATTCTGTCTAACTTCTGATTCATACTTCTATAATTGTTTTTCTAATCCTAAAAATTCTTGTTATTTTTTAATCACAATTTCAGTAATTTACTTTAACTAATCTTAACTATTATTATTTCTCTGATATTTCTATTTTTATTATTCATCATCACATAACTATAAGATAGATAACTAATTATACAATCATGAATAATTTGTTTATTAACTCTTACATTAAATTATTTATATATATATATATATATTTATCATAACTTCAAATCATCACTTAGTATGCCACAAATATTGTCTAAATTATCACCAGTTAAATGAGCAAATGCTCTTAATTTCCCCTGTTTATAATTTGTTTTTTAAACTTAGACTCTTAATTTAGTACCTTATTTTATCATTTCTTCATCTTCTTCTTTATAAGATTCCTAAGCTTACAACTAATAAATTACATTAGAATAGGTGAAATTAGCAGGTAATTTATCTCTTGGAATTATAAAATCAATTGGCCCTAATTTTGCAAAGACTGCCTAAGCTTCACATTTGACCACTTCAACATCCACTATTTCCTTTTCCTTTATTTTAAATACTATAGCTTCAAATTTTATCTGATTAGAAATGAATTAATACCACTACTTTAACAGTTCCATCCTCTTCAATTAATGCATCAATTTATTCATCCTAATTTTAATTGTAATTCATGCATTTATTTATACAAATAATGTACCCAACATCATCAAAGTATTTGCCTTCTAATTTCTATACGATTTATTCTAAAATGAACTTTTAATCTTTTAATTGATCTAAATAATTTGGTTCTATTGATAATTTTGTTTTGAGTCCACTTATCAAATAAAACATTTTTATTATTATTTATTAACTAATAATTAAACAAAAAAATTTAGTATATTATATTTAAACTCCAAATCATCTTTTTGCAGTCAAAGGTCTTTAATGTTATTATGGGGCCTTTAAAGCCATATTTACAACATAGGTCACAGCTTTTTATAATGTATAATTAGAAGCCTTCCTTTTTAAAAGCTTATAATATAAATTGATATATTTATACCTTATCTGAGATAGATTCTATAGCTTCTAAAAAACCTAGAAAATTTAAATCTGGTTATAATGATTTTAACTAGATTTTTTTGTAAATCAAATCATAATCTGATTTTATTAGCAATTCATTAATCAATTATGGATTATTAGCTAATCTGCAAAATCTCATTTAATTCAAATTTCCATATCTCAAACCACAAAGATTACTGTAAAGATCAACTAATTTATAAAACTAAAATTTTAAATAAATATATATAAATTACCAAATCTAAATTTTCAATAGGTGGTTAACCATCAATAATCATTTTATAACTATTACAATATTTCCCCTTACCAATTTATTCAATTTATTCTTAAGGTGTTTTAATTGCAATGATGAATGCATCTTCAATAACTTTAGTTTTAACATAAGCATCTAATTAACTGGTCTCTACTCTTTTAATTCCATTTGGATTTTAAACTACTTAAGTAATCTCTAAACTAGGATTGGCATTAATCTCAATAATCCAAGGTTTTAAATCTCTATCAATCAAAATATCAAATCCAATAACATGAAAACAGTTAGCTTTTTCCCATTTGTCCTGATAGACTTCTCTAGTTGAATTTAACTTAATTAATAAATAGAAATTCTTACTAAAAAGGGAGCAATTCCATATAAGAATCTTACTATTGTTTATTCAATTCTCAATTTTAATTTAGGTACATCTATGCCCATTTTCATTAATGTTTTTTTGGCTGATGTATAAGTTCTTTTAGTACCAAAATTTATTTTCTGGAAATCTGGAGGATGTATAATAAAATTTTGACTATCTAATGGATATACTATTTTTGTCTTTTACTTTTATTTAATGAATAATTTGTTAGATGCATATAAACATTAGAGAGATTACTAGATGTAATGTCCTAATAATTTTCAGTGCACAATCTAGCTAAACCTTCTTCATTAATATAAGCAATTAATGGTTTAAGTGAAGTGATCAATACATATAATCTAAAATCAAATTTCTTATCATCCAATAATAAAGGATTACTTATATACTCTTAAATAATATAGTTTCTAAATATTGAAATTTAAATACTTCTTTATATATGAGATGTCCTTGACACCATTATTAAATAAATCTTCTATTTAACTAACTATAAAGATTCCTTAACCCTAAGTTCCTTTATCAGGTTTAGCAATATAAGAGATGCCATCTTTTTTTTCAAAATCTTCAATAAATTCATGTAAATCTTCTGGCATAGTATATGTTTTTGGATAAAAATTATAAATAGACGGAAAATATCTAATATAATATGACACATATTATACTATCTCATTTTAGCCATGATTGACGTAGTTTCTTTTTTTGTAGAGATTAATTTAGCTCCAGGAATTCTACTGATGCATAAATTCATAAAGACCATTGCAAAATCATAAGTAAATTGTTTAGCTTATTGAACATTATCAGGACCACACCATAATATATCTCCATCAAAATTATGAGCCTTTTTCCATTCATTCTTATCCATGATTTTACGTATAATGGGTAATTCTTATACCTAAACAGAGAGATTAATAGACAAAGGTATTGATTTTGGATCTACCTTAATTTATTATCTTTTCTATGTTTTCTTTTGCAATAACATTTAGAATATTAGATTTAATGGTTTATTAGCAGGCTTTTCTTCAAAACTCTTAACTCTCAATTATCTTTAAGAGTTATTTGGAACTTCTGTCTCAGAATTCTCATCTTACTTATCCTACTTATCTTATTAAGTAAATTGTTAAAAGTCTGAATTCAAAAATTACAACATTTGATTTTCCAACATATTTTAATAATGAAATTAGTTAATATTCATTAGTCAATTAGATCTAAGTCAGAGAATCGAAGATAGACAAGTAGAGAGTAAACAAATACAGATCATAAATATAAATTACCATAATTGATGGATAAACAAATCTCTTAAAAAACATTTAAGAAACCTCCATTATAATAAAAATCTAGGAGAATCATAAACTCTAAAATTCCTAAATTGGAAATTTAATTATATTATGGATCCTTATCTAAAGCTGGATTTGATGGATTTTGTGAAAAAACCAATTAAGATAGAGAATTTGCTGAAATTATTGATGATGAATAAGGAATTTTTGCTGTTATGGATGGACATGGAACTGATGGTGATTAAATAAGCACATTTGTTAGAGATTATTTTTAATGTATACAGATAATATATTATAAATTAGAATATGCAATTAAGGATTTTAAAACGATTGATTTTGTCAAGTTATTTGCAAATGCTCATTCAAATGTTGCTTCTCATTCGCATTTTGATTCACTTATGTCTGGAACAACTGCAACCTTAATAGTTATTAGAGACTAAGTAATTCATTGTGCTTGGGTAGGAGATTCAAGAGCAATTTTATGCTCTAGATAATAAAATAAATTAATTACAACTGATCTATCTATTGATCATAAACCACATTTATTAAAAGAAAAAAAAAGAATAGAAAATTAAGGTGGAGCTGTTAATACTTATAAATTATAAAATGGATAATCTGTAGGTCCATCTAGAGTTTATATTAAAGGAGCTTCATTTCCTGGTTTGGCAATGTCTAGAAGCATAGGAGATTAAATAGCTGAACAAGTAGGAGTCTCTCATGTACCAGGTATTTAATTATATTATTAAAGATATTAAACAGCATCAGATAACTAGAGATGATTTATTTATAATAATTGGTTCAGATGGATTATGGGAATTTTTAGATAATAATCAAGTATTAAAAGTATCATTAAGATAGTAGAAATAACACATCAATATTTTTTGAATAATGATCCATAAGGAGCTTGTTAGAAATTGATTTAAGAATCTAAAACCTAATGGAAAAAGTTTAGTGAAGGAGTTGATGATATTACTGTAATTGTTGTCTTCTTATAGAATTCAAATACATGATAAATATTAGATTAGTTTTAAAATATATTTTATATATTATAATGGTTTCCTTATATACTAAATCTTAAATGCTATAGTATCCAAAGTATCAGAGTTTCAATGTTTTTATTAATTAATATTTAATTTAAATTATGTTATCAATAAAATTAGTACTTCCTCAGATTTTGAAACCTTTATTCTCTATTATATGCATCATTTACTTATAACTTAGAGGTTAGATATTCAATTTACTAATTCCTTAAATAATATTTTTGGCTTTTGGAATCATTTTTAGTCTTGCTGCAATCAGAAAAACTGCTTAAAATTTATAGTGTAAAAATATTTTAATATTAACTTTTATAGAAATAGATCATTCACCAATATTTTTTACTATTTTACTGCTTCTCCAATTTGCAAGTTTATTATATTTGAGTAATGACAACATATCAGAAAATCTATTAAGTTTATTATTTGGAAGTATGCTCCAACTTTAAAAATTAAAATCAAATGATAAAAATGAGAAAAAACAATTTCTTAATATTAAAATTCTGCTTTAGGCTATATCCCTTGTAATTATTTTCATAGTAATTATTTTATTCAAAAATATAACAAATCACATAGAATATTTTATAATTGCCTCAATTCTGATTATTTTAGTGTGTTTATATGAATTCCTCTTATCCAATAACAAACATTAACCTGTATAAATCGAATAAAATAAAACAATCGTTCAAAGAAGAATTAGCACCCAGATTTAATCATAATTTCCTTAAAATGTATAAAGTTTATGGGAAAAATTTATAGAATAGTAATATATCTTTGTTTCCTATCGAAATAATGAAATTTTAATTGAAAAAATGAGTTAATACTTAATTTAATTTCTAAAAGAGAAAAATTAATCTATTGAAGAATATATGAAAAAGATTTAATTATATACAATTTCTTTAGATAGTGAGCATATTTTAACAAATAATATGTTTGTTAATATGTCTACGAATCTTTATTCATATATTAGAGATTAAATAATTGACGAAAAGTAAAGTGCTGTAATGCAAAGAAGAAAATCATAAAGAGATATAAATGAAGATTAATAATTGCAAAAATTAGTTTCTCCACAAAATGAATAGAGATCACGTTTATAATCAATTTAAAAAAGCGAAGCCTATTTATAAAAAGGAAATACATTAAATTTAAATAATAGTTCTTTATAGGTAAAATTTATATATATATTATTTTAAGTATATTGATAGAGAATTCTTATCTGGATCTGTAATGAAAAATTTGGATAATTTTATTGCTAAACCACAAGATAATAATAGCTAATTAGCAAACAAGAAATAAATACTATATGGAATAATTCAAAATGAAAAATCTATTTATAAGAAAATATAAGTTAGTTATTGGAATCAAGGTTTAATAGTTTAAATTGAAGATGATTCTATAGATAATATTAAAGTCTATATGAATAGTGTTTAGATTGGATACAAATAAGAAGTCACATCAAAATAGATATAAAAATTATCTTAAATGGTTAGTGATTTGCAATAAAAATTTAATAAGTTACTTAATAATTAAAATAAAGAAGATAAATTATTTAGTTAAGCATAATTGTAATTGTATGTTTTAGATATATGGATTAATAATTTTAACATTTTTCTATCTGATAGTATGGCTTTTCCAAAATAAGAGCAAGTTAATATTATCTCATTTCTAAAAACACTTAAAACCAAATTCAGTCAGGATACAACTGTTATTGAAAAAAGCATTAACATAATTATATCAGATGATATGAACAATAAATTCATAACAACTGATATTAAATATTTTCGATCAATTATCGTTAATTTACTAATTAATAGTATTAAAGCATACAAAAAACCAGATATAACAAATATGGTGTAAATACATGTTTCTTAATAACCAAATGATGATGTCAAATTTGAAATTTATGATAAAGCTAGTGGATTTTCTCAACCATTAGATTTCAAAAGTATATTATTTCTAATATTTTGAAGGAGTAAGTGAAGGCAAATTAGGAATATTTGTAGTTTAAAAATTGTTACCATATTTATCAAAAAATCCTAAATTATAATTTAAAAGTGTAAATTATGAAAATAAATAAACAGGATCTTAAATTAGTTTTATTTTACCTAGATAAATTAATCCTATTAATAATTCATTACAAAATTCTTCAAACAATTTACTTTAATAAGAAAGTTTTAAAATGGCTTAAATAATATAATCTTAACTTTTACCTTAATAATAAGATTTTATTTGAAAAATTATTATTAGAAATTTGTATATTTTTCTACATTTATTATATATATACAATTAATTATTTCTAAATTTATAGTAATAAAAAGGTGAATAAATATTTTATAATAATATACTTATTTATATTATCTATAGATTATCATATAATCCTAGTAAATAATAAACTTTTTTTGTTAAATAAATTTATATGTTTATTTTGAAAATAAATCAATTAATTTAACTTAAATCAATATTTTTACATGGATTTGGATTCTTTCCAATCAATTATTTAAATTTCAAAAATTAATCTGGTAATTCTGCTAAAAGTTCTTTAGCTAATTCTCCTGGCTTTTGAGAATGCCTAATAAATGGAACAAATTAAACAAGATCTCTTTCATGCTAAGCATCATCCCCATCTAATTATTCCATCATATGAAAATTAGCATTTCCAATCCCAACTATAATAATAGATAATGGTAATCGATAAGCCTTTTTAATAAGTTTTAAACAATGACTCATATCATCTATAAGTCCATCTGTCATTATAAGCAAAACTGAATAAATATCTTTTTTAAGATTAGCCTTAGAAATATCTAAAGCATTTTCAATAACTGGACCAAAAATAGTTGGACCACTTAAACTTATATGATTTAAGGCATTTTGATAGGTATTCATTATACTATCCAATCCTAATACCTCAGGGTCAGATTTATTCCCATTTAAAGGAAAACTATTGATATACATTTAAAATTTACCAATGTTATACACTATTTTTTGTAAAATTTGGCAATGATGGTACTCCACCAAATCCATAAAGTGGTACCTTCTTATCATAATCATAATTTAATAAAATTTCAGCTACTTATTTTAATGCATTTTAATATTAATTTAAATTGTTAGGATTATTATAATGTAAAGAACTTGGAGATGAGGGTTCTCCATTAGAACCTGTGAAATCAATAGCAATAATAAGATTAATTTAATCTCCTCCTTTTAAATAATCAATAAAAGAAGGTTTATCCATCATTTATAAATCGAAATTTTTATTTTCAATAAATTTTACTCCTAAATTGCCACCAAATTCCTATAGAATATTAGTACTAAAGTTACTCCTTTTGGTGTTTTAACTATAAATTAATGGATTTCTTTAAAAATTATTTATTCTATTGTAACTTCAATTGATCCAATGAACTGATGTTTTCCATTTGTTTAGTTATCCCAAAGTTCAATTTTAAAAGGTTATTAGGGATTCTCATCATGTAATTTATCATGAGGTATCTGAAATGGTTTCCAAGTAGGATTTTCATTGTTCTTAATGAATTCTGTTTCATGTACTAATAGCCAATCACTATTTTAATGCCATTTTAGAAATCTCAGAAATGGATCAGAAACACCAAACCATCCATCCATATTTTTTACTTTTGTTGCATACCATTACCAACAAATAATTTCATTATTTTCTCCTATTTCCTTTCTTTTATCAGCTTTGATAATCAATCTCCCTGTCTTTTTATTATTATGAGTAAGTTATCCTATATATATTTGATTTTTAGATCCCATAATTGTACCAATAGTTGTCTAAAAGGATTTGATATTTAAATTTTACATTTAAAGATCCTATTATATCATCATTTTCAACTTTCTCCCCATCATGATCCATAACAACAATCCTTAAGAACTGATTTATTTCAAATATAAAGTCCAATACAACTGATGTCTAGAATTATTGATATAGTAATACTTTCCAATCAGGATTAAGGTTGTTATCTTTTACTTCTGTTTTGCCAATTAATTTCTCCTATCCGTCTTATCCTTACTTTAAATAGATATAACATTAAGGATCACTTTACGACATTACATCTTTGTCAGCTAAACCTCTACCTGAGAAATATAACTCTATTTTTTCTCTATCTTTATCTATTATTTATTACAACATAATAATTATAATAATGAATTATGACAGTTTAAATAAAATATAAATTTAAACTCAAAATGGTCCAAGAAATTACTTATTAAGATAAATGAGAATTCTAAAATTTACTTATGATTTATTATAATAAATCTAATATTCTATATGTTTTATATTTGATAATTCTCACATCATTTAACTAAGATGGACATCTGGAACCTTTTTAGGTTACATCCCTAATAGTTATTTATAGGTAACTAACTAATTTGGTAGTTCTGCTAAAACTTCTCTGGCTAATTCTCCTTATTATTTAAAGTCTCTAAATGGCACAAATTACACTAAATCTCTTGCAGATGAACCTTTTAATGGACCATTATCTCCATCTAGTGTTCTCATCTATTAAAATTTTTCATCACCAACTCCAATTATAATTATTGAAAGTGGAATTCTTGCTGCACCTTTAATTAATTGAATTGTTTAATTCATGTCATGAATTTCTCCATCTGTCAATATCATTAAAACCGAATAAATATTATGATTAATATTCTATTAAGCAGTCTAACAAGCATATTATATTATTGGAGCAAAATATGTTGGTCCTGATAAAGTGACATGTTGTAGTGCACCACTATATTAGGCCATAATTCCTTCTAAGCCAAAAACTTCTGGTTATTAAAAACTGCCTGTCAAAGGAAAACTATAATGATAATTCACATTTATACCAATGATCTGCTTCTTACTTTGAATAATTAGGAAAATGAGGGATTCCTCCAAATCCATACATAGGTATTTTCTTATCAAAATCATAATTTAATAATATCTCTGACACTTGATAAAGAGCAGATTGATATTAATTCATTTGATTTGGATTATTATAATGTAAAGAGTTTGGAGATTTTGGATCTCCATTAGAACCTGTGAAATCAACAGCTATGAGTAAATTAATCTACTCTCCTCCCTTTATATAATCAATAAATGATGGTTTAGTAAATATATTAAATTAAGTTAATTATAGAGTACCATGATCACTCTATAATTGATGATATAATTTATACTCCTTTTTAAGAAAGAGATATGAATTCTCTTTTGAGTTCATTTTCAATTTAATGTATTGTAAATTAGGTTGAACCAATAAATTAATGTTTACCGTCTGTTTGGTTATCCCAGCATTCAACCTTTATTTATTATTATGTATGTCCAGCATTTAATTTAGCCATTGAAATTTCGAAGGCTTTCCAATGTGGATTTTCATTATTTTTACAGAATTCTGTTTCATGAACAAATAACCAATCATTTCCAGATTATTTATAAAATTTTAAAAATGGATCTGACTCTCCAAACCAACCATCAACATTTTTTATTTTTTTCCCTTCCCATTACCAAAATATATATCTGTTGTCATCTTTCAATTTATCACCCTTTATTAATAATGTTCCTGTAGCTTTATTCTTTAATTTTAATTATCCTGTATAGACTTAATTTCTTGATCCCATAATCTCTCCAACTGTAGTCTAATAAAAATTTAAAAAATAGAAAGATACATTAACAACACCAATTAAATCATCTTTATCAATGCTTCCGTCATCATGATCCCAAACTTCAAATCTTAGTTCTTATTTAATTTCAAAGATGAAATCCATTTGAATAGTTGTCTAATATGATATTTAAATACTTTCCAATCAGGATTTAGGTTATTCTTTAAAACTTCTGTTTAACCAACTTATTTTTCAATTCCATTAAAATCTTTTAAGAATATTTTGCATTTTGGATCACTATCTGATATTACATCCTTATTAGATAGCTTACGAGCTGAAATGTAAAGCTCAATCTTCTCTCTATCTGCAGGTTGATACATAAAATAAATATAAATATGCAAAATTAAATGTTTTTATCAGTGAGCGGTTCAGGATTTCATATGAATTATCGTTAAGAAGTTAGACTACCAAAATTACAAGGTCATAAAGTACAGGCTTACAGCATGCCTAAGTATAGACAATTAAATAGTCCTGAAGAGAAACCAATATCTCCTGATAGGTTTTTAAAGTACCTGAATAATAAAGTTCAATCTCAAGCAGGAGTTTATAGAAACCCTGTTGCTGTTCAATCCTCTATGATTTTAATTGCAAAATAAATGAAGTTCTCTTCTGATCAACATACTCATAGACAGAAAGAGAAATCAATAAAAATAATTGAGTAATCTAATGAATATAAATACAATTTGGGATTGGGAAACAATCATGAATTAATATAAAGGATTATGGATACCAGAGTTGATTGGCAGTAAACTAAGGATAATTCATCAATGTTTGTTAATTTTAGATGGCAATAATGGAATAGAGGTTACAAATATGATAGATTGATATTGAATAATTAATACAAATAAATGGTTAATCATTTTGAAAATCATCCAGAATTAAGTAATAAATAATATTTGTTTAGAAATCTTTGCTCATATTGTGAAGTATTATTTTATTATTAAAAACATTTTTTAGCAAAATAAATAAAATGTATATGATTCAGTTCCAATAACATTTGTATTAGATTTTAAAGATGATTCTGTTGATTAATAATTTACTTAATTTGTTAAATTTTTTGATAAATATGCTCCCAAGAAGATTGATTAAATGGCCAAAAAATTAGTAGAATACAAAAAGAAATTAAAAGTATAATTTTAAAATAAATCAGATTCCAGTCTAACCAATGAATGATAAGAAAATATAACCTATTCCCAATAAAATACCAAAAACTTAAAATGGTAATCAATATTTATGGTTATTGAAACCAACATTTTTGAATAGAGGCTAAGGAATACATGTTGTTAATGATTTAGACACTATCATATCTCATATATGTGAATATTAAGAAGGACATTAAACTATAGAAGATGAAGATGCAAAAAATAACAAAAAAAACAATAACATCAAGGCAAATTCCTTTGTGATTCAAAAATATATCGAATAACCATTTCTTATTAATTAAAGAAAGTTTGATATAAGAGTTTGGGTATTAGTTACTTAGGATCTTCATTGTTATTTTTTCAAAGAAGGTTATATACGTACTTCTTGTGAAAATTATACCACTGAAGATGTAAGTAATTAATATATACATTTGACTAACAATGCCATTTAAAAGTACTCTGAAAAATATGGAGAGTTTGAAGATGGAAATCAATTGTCTTTTGATGATTTTTAAAATTATCTTAATCAATAAGGATTCAATATTGATTTTTAATAAAATAATGTTACAAAGATGAAATAATTAGTATGGATGTCAATGTAATCTGTAAAGAGAAAACTAAATCTTCATTAAAGAAAATTTTGTATGGAGATTTTTGGTTATGACTTCATTATTGATCAAGATTTTAAGACATGGTTGATAGAAATTAATACTAATCCTTGTATTGAAGAATCAAGTGGAATTTTAAAAATGTTATTACCTAGAATGTTGGGTAATTATTTTTTATAATGTAGATGATGCATTCAAATTAACAATTGATGTCATATTTCCTCCAAAATAAAAATTAGAAATAGTTGAATCTACATTTCCAGTAAATAAATATTCAAACACAGAATCATTATGGTATTATATATATAAATTAATATAAAGGGAATCTATTGGAACTCTTGAATCACCAAAACCTGCCACAAAATAGAGTGCTTTACTTTTACCAAATTAGTTATCGTCACAAATTTAGTAATTTCAGACAATCATACCAATATATTAAGGAGATCTATGATATATTATCAATTTATTTATTTTCTGAATCTTATATTTAGAAATAAGATGGTACATATTAATATATATATAAAATTAATAGGGTCATATGGGATAGATATGTAAATTACCTACAGTAGTTGAATCAAGTTAGTAAATAGATTTATATCATAAAAGACCTTAATCTTAAGATTAATAATAATTATAGGAGTAAATTTTGAGTGACAATCAGTTCAATAACATCCCAAATTAATACTCATTATAATTATCTTGTACTCCAGAACTAGTCATTCCTTAATATGGACAAAAAATGCATTCTCTTCAAGATAGTTATTATACTCCTGAGTTTTTGGGAATAAGTTAACCATTTTAATAATAAGTGAATATATATTAATAATAATTTTGAACTATAGAATTTCTCATAAAAGATGAAGGTAACAAAAATGTTATGAATTAAGGAAAGTAACGTCAATCATCTGTGCATACTGAATAATAGAACAGAAAATCCTACAGAAGATCTGTATCTGCTGTCTAATCTGGACGTAAAATCTCTCATAGTGCCATCACATTAGGTGATAATCAAATTCAAATTACTATGATTAACAACATTACATAATGTCTAGCAAAAAAAGTACATTTTCAATTCATAAAATTAGAAAATATATGTTGAAATATATTCAGGTCCTTAGTAGAATGACCGTAATCAATCTGATTGTGAAGATGAAATACTTTATGCTTTGGGTGCTACAATAGTCAAAAAATTAAGTAAACATACTCACTATTTAATTTGGCAATGTAATTTCTAATTGAAATTATAGATGGTTTTTTGAGTACATTAGAGAAAGCTAAGGAATGGAATATTAAGATAGTCAATCCTATGTGGGTAAATGAGTAAATATAAAATATATTTTTAGATGTCTTACAAAAAAGAGGGAAGTTGATGCTTCAAATTTTCCAATCATTGAATTAACTCCTTAAGAGATATAAGAATTGGTTAAAAAAGATGTACTGTCATAAATTTATATAGAGAGTTCATATGAAGAAAGGAAAATAATCAAATCAATAAATTTAAGATGAAGAAGAGGAAGAAGTCAATGAATTTAAAACTAGACACATTTTTAGTTTATATAAGAATTAACTTTAACAAATAGCTAAAGGTTTCAATAAATCTTATGTACCTATTTCAAATTTCAAATAAATTTCTAAGAGTATTCAAGGTATTAATAAATAAGATCTCATTAATGAAGAATTTGATACTGAATAAGTTGAAGTGTCTCAAAAGATCAACTCATAATTTATATCCAAAAAGAGTTCCAAAACATAAAAATCAAAAACATAATAAAATGACTAAAAATTCACTCTGGCTATACATAAATCATGCGATTTTAACATATTGAATTTATTTGAACATATAAATTTGAAGTAAATTTAACTAATAATAAAGCGATTAGTATCAATTGGTAATTGATGAAGACATGAAAATTAAATGTGATATACTTGTTATTAATGAAGATAAACTAATTTATGATTTGATTTTCTGCTGTTGTTGTTTAAATAAACAGACAAAAATTATTTCTTAAAAATGGATTATCAAATAAGAATAAAATCCAAAAAAAGAGATATCCTTTAATTAGTATCAATTAACTTACAATATGTAAAAAAGTACAAATAACATGATTACAATAGAAATATTGTTCCCTTATAACTTTTATGTATATTTATCCAAACCCAAAACATCCTAATAAAAGACGATTAATCAAAATCTTAGGTTAGGATTAGAATAATTGATATAAAACTTTGGAGGAAAAGTAAAAATATTTAATTAAACTAGATTACTTAAAAAGAATTTTGTGATATTATGGTTGTTATGAAAATAATGTTCAAGACTACTGCATAAGCAATTCTAAATTCAAATCCTAATATTAAAATCATTCATGCTGAATGGTTATACAAATCAATTTAATAAGGTTGTTTGATTGATTTGAATGAATATATAATTTAATAATGAAATTTTGCAATTTTAAACTTATCAACATATTGATTAATTAATAAAATTTTTGAATTGCGTCTTAATTTATGGTTCAACATTTTCAGTAAAATTTCACTGTAAAACAAAATTATTTTTTTAATTATCTGTTTCTATTTGAACATTCTAATTTAAGAAACATATTTTCTTTTAGTTAATTAATATTAATTTTTATACTAATTCTTTTCAAAGAATCATTTTAATAAAAAGAATAGATTTAATTTTATTTTAATTTACAAGCATAAATTGTTAACATTCATTTTACTTAGTTTCTTTTAATTTATGATTCATATTCTATTAGCATACAATTTAATTCATTTTTAAAACTCTCAATAAATGGATAAATCAATTCCTATTATTTCTAAAAATGCTTTATTTAAGTTTATTATATAAATTCGTATAATTCCTATGTAACTTTTCTGTAGTTAATAAAATTTAATTCATTTTTATATACTTATTAATCTAAATTTTTTATAGAATTGAAAATTGCTTTATTGCTATTCACAATTTCAAGTTCTTAAGCTAGTTCTTCAAGTATAAATTAATTTTTTTCTATTTATTCCTCTACCATTTTCAATCTCTATTATTCTTTATTTAAGTAGTCTTTACAACTTTATAAATTAAAATATGAATACATATTGATTCTTTCTTATATCACATCCATCTTATTGTTTCTTTAAGTCTTAAATAGTCCAGATTAAATTATTTCTTCATTTATTGATTTAAGTTCTGATCTTTGAGTATATTAAGTTTATGTATTAAGACCAAAATAGCAATTTCTTTAAACAATATTAGACCTTCTGGTCAACCTCTCTGAAAGAGGGATATCATTAAATTAGTCTTAATTAATATCAGATATTTTGGTGTTGTTGTGAAATGTTTTTAGAATTATTTTTTTATGATCCTTGACAACTACATTGTTTTTATGGAGGATAGAGAATGAGTAAAATTATTTGCTATTTTTCTTATTAGTTGTTAAAATTCTATTTTCAATATTTGGTTTATCTTATTTATAATATTCCTTTTCATGTCTTTTAACTTCTTTCTTAAAATGATAAAATATTAATAAATACATCTAGTTAATTAATAAAAGCTTTGTCATCTGTAAAGGCAGCAATATTTACTTTTTACATTTTAAAATTATATTATGAAAGTATTTTATAATAATTATTTTACTTTCAATATAGTTATAAAAGTATAATACTTAAATAAGTAAATATATAATGAGAGTTAATGAAGAAGAATTAAGAAGTATCAATTGATGTGAATTTATATATTTTTATATTACTTTTATTATTATTTATTAAATATCAGTTATAATTTTATATTAATAATTATAAATTTATTATTTATAAATGTGGTATTATTCATTATGATAACATCCTTCATTGTTTAACATTTCTTTCTCCAAAAATTGCACTTCCTACTCTTACATAATCAGCTCCATATTTAATAGCTTCTAAATAGTCTCCACTCATTCCCATACTCAATTTTAATGGTTCAAGATTAAATTCCTTCTCAAATTATTTTGCCAAATCCAATAATTATACAAAAATTTCAGTATTACCTATGGGTCCTATTGTCATTAAACCAATTAATTTGATGTATTTAAACTTAGTAATTATTTCTTAAATTATGAGTTTAGCTTCATCAATTTCAGCTCCAGTCTTACTTTCTTCTTCACTTAATTTAATTTAAACAAATATATTTATATTCCTTCCAAGTTTTTCACAATGTTTTTCTATTTTTTAAGCTAATTTGAGACTATCTACAGATTAAATGAATTAAAGATTTTAAATCTTCATTAAAGTAGAAACTTTATTGGTTTAAAGATGACCAATAAAATGCCAAGAAATATCATTAGGCAACAAAGGGGCTTTTTCAATTACTTCATTTACATAATTTTCTCCGAAATGTCTCTATCCTCCTTCATATGCCTCTTTAATTAATTCAACTGTTTTTGTTTTAGATACAGCAACTAATGTAATTTGTTTATTAGTTGTTTCTGATGCCTTAACTATTGTTTATAGAACTTTCTGTAAATTTTACTACAATAAAGTTTACATTATTAATTTAATGAAAAATAAATCATATTTTTTGATTAATTTGGACAGAATAATTTTATAATGGAGACTCTAATTATGTTATTGAGAAAGTAAAATTAGCAAAATAATTATCATATCTACAAAATGATAAGAATATTGTAAAAGTTAACATATTAAGTATTGAAAAATGGATAAAGATTAATATTTGCATACTTTAGAAAGAAATGTATTATTAATAAGAGAAATAAAATTATTATTTTTCTGTAATGAAATACTTAAGTTGAATTCAGAGTAGTACATATATAATTCTCTTTATTATTGTATATTTAATTTAAACATATATATTGAAATAAAAAGAAATGCCTTTATTAAGCTTTTCTAAATAAATAGAATTCAAATAAGCCCTTTATATCTAATTATAATGTTATATTATTTTAAATTATAATAATTATCATTTATACTAAATTTTTAAGTGAACTGACAAAAATTTCTCACATGTTAGAAAAGATTGGTAAGGAAATCAGTTGATGAATATTCAAAATAGAAATGAGGTATTGAACATAAAATTTTGAATAAAGTAAGTCTACTATTATTTAATTAAAAAAAACATAAAGATAAAGAAGATGACAAGAATAATCTCAGATATAAAAAATCAATCATAAGTAAGTTCTCATTGATGAATAAATTGCCAGAAAAAGGATTGAGTCATTATAGTGGTTTCTATTTTTAATGATATTATGAATTAGTTAATGATTGGTTATCATGATTAGATCACATATATTCTGTTATGCATGATAGATTGATTCATAAGATGACTGTTGTTTATGATAGTCAAGCAAAAATTGCAATAAATTAAAGAATCAACAATTAAAATATAAGTTTAAACTTAAGAGAGATTTATATCGATTGAAAGAAATAAGAAAATAGTAAGAAGAATTATTGTAAAATAAGTATGAAAAAAACAGTAGATCAAATTTTAGGTACTAGAAAATTGTATGATTAATAAAAAAATTATATGAAGATGATTAAAAATTAAAACAATTTTAAATAAATGAATGTCATTATTTTGTTTATATAATATTCATTCATCTGATTTATCAATCTGTAATTTTAAAATATTATCTTTTACATGCTCTGCACAATTATCTAGTATATATTAGGTATTACATAAACAATCTTCAAAATTCTTCAATCTTCTACCTCGTAGAAAATTTTCAAATAATTGACATCGTTTACCACAAATTACAGCATAATCAGTCACTGATTTAAATTCACTAGGAATATTCATTACTATAATTGATTTATATTAATATCAAATAAAATAAAAAAGAACAAATATCAGAATTAAATATTAAAAACTCATTTCTTTAAATTGAATCATATTTATTCTTAGATAATCAAAATCATTAAATAGATATCTATCTATCAATTATTATAGAAGTTTAATTACATATTAGGCAGTGATAGATTATTAGATTTAAAAATGATATCAAATTATGAACTTTATTAATCAAATTATGTATATAAGAAGATCATAAGAGAATAAATAGGTATTAGTTAAAAAATAAAAGATTATGTATTATGTTATTTATTTATTCATTGTAATTATTTTATTGTTTTCTTTTATTTAATAAAAGTATTATTAGAAATGAAATAGGAGAAGAATAAGGTATTATTATTATATCTATTATTTTTTTTAAATACTCTTATATATAAAAGAAAAGATGTAAAATTAATTATTTTAATATATTTATATCAATGTTGATTCATCTAATTTATGCAGTGTTAAACACCCTCATATTCCTAAATGACTTCTTTGATTTTGGTTTGCAAAATCTAGTTTTTCATTTACTTATTTTGGTAACAATTTTTGTTTAAGTATACAAATATGCCTTGAATTGGGTATTATAAGATAAAGCATAAGTAAATATCAATATTATTGTGTTAATAGGCAGAATCTGTGTTCATGAAAAAAATATAATATTTGACATCATTTAGTAAATTACCTGAGACTTTATTAAAATAATATATTATGCCAACATTAATTGATGCTATTACCTTAAAGAATATAGTAAATAATTGATAAATATTTAGTAACACACTGCAGCATTCTTTATAGCCTTATATTTTGGTATATCATATTTGTCATTGTTCCTAACAAATAAGGCAGTAAGAAGCATTTCATTACATCTATTATATGGATTATATTATCATTATAATAAAAACTAATAACCTTATCAATTTTGGATGTAAAGAATTTAAAAAATTCTTTCAGAGAAATATGAAGCTTTAACTAGCAAGATTTAAAAATAAAAATTATGAGGTTTGGTTTTATTTTATATATACAAATATAGAATAAAATTTCCTATTGGTTAATATTTATATTACAATTTAAATAAGATTGTTTAGATTAACTTAATATCATTATTATTTAACTTAATAAACATATTAGTTGAGTAATTAATTACAAATATTATTGTATAATCTAATCTATTTATTATAAACAAATCTTTAAATAAATTATATTGATTTATTAATCATCTCATTTTTATATCAATTAAAAATAGTCTATCCTTTATTTTTGTCTTTGCAGTAATGTTTCATAAACAAATTCATATAAATTTTATTATGAATTTCAAAATTGATGCATCAAAGTCTGAAGATAATGTTAAATCTCTAGATGAAGCAAAAGAATCATATTTTTCTAACAGTAAAGTGTTGGATTTTCAAAATATCGATCAATATAATGATTCAAATAACTTTGCTTCATTCTATGCATTAAATAGACTAAGTAATCGTTTAGAAAGTAATAATTAAAAATATTAAAAGATAGAGCCTCCTATACTTAAAACTCTTAATCTGTGATATTAATGTAAAAGTATAAAAAACAAAAAATGATAAGAACTGTGTTTTTTTATATATATTTAATAATGACAATCTTTTAGCGTCCAACCTGGTGCAATTTTGTTGATTATTAAGTATAAACTTTGTTATTTTAGGAATACTGCAGCATTTATAATGGTTAAAAGATACCAACTATGGTAGATTTCTATCTTCCTATAAACTTATATTATTGTGTTGAAATACTGATTATTTTATATCTTTGTTTGAGTAAAGTATTATAAATGATTATTTTAAAGGTTTTTAAAGCAACCATAATAGGATCAGAAAATAAAAAGAGATTTGCTATAGCTTAACTCATTATAACAACTTTAATTATAATTAATGATATTACAGTGATGATATAAGAAAATAACAGTCAATTTAACATCAGTTTATTAATGAAACCAATATTAATAGTACTTTAGAAGTATCTAAGAATAATTATAAAATTAGACGAACATTACGTTCCACAATATTTCATTATTGTTAAATAATAAACAAAGGAAAAGAAATATATTATTTGATGATTTTTTCTTTAACTTTTTTTGCAGGATTGGGTTCAGCAATATTTTAATAAAAGGATAATATATCTTAAGAAAGCACAATATGTTAAATAGATTAACCTCCCTTTTCATAACCAGAATAATGTATAGTAATAATTCTTTTTGTACTTTAAACTACAGTTAATTCTCCTGATATTTATTTACCATATTATGGTGAATCTAGAGCTTACGTAGCATATTTTATTTTATTTTAATTCATAAACACAACATTAATCATAAATTTAGTTTTAGCCTTTTTTTATTCATCTTATAAAGATCTAATGCATAAAGAAACTAAATAAATTTTATCAAAATATAATCATAGATTTAGTATGAAAACTCAAAAATTTTTTCGTAATAGAACAGGTTCTGATATTACACGTTTAGCAGATATATCTTCACTTGATAATGTAATATCAAGATCAATATACTAAATTTTAGATGATAAATTTTATGAAATTTTTATTGAAATAATTTCCTCATTATCATTTATTATGATATTTCTTACAATTACTAAAGTGAAATTATATATTTTACTAATTTGCAATTCAATTATGTTTGGTGAATGCCTTTTATTATTACATTATACTGGTAAAAGAAGAATTTGGAGAAAAAAATCTTTAATTATTGAATTTCTTTTCTCCAGTTCAATACTTTTTTTGATTATTTTAAACATACTTGGATATGATGATTAGAAATTATTATTAATTTTATTATGTTATAGATTATTGAGAGGATGTAAATGGTTATTAAAGAATAAAAGTTTTACAATTTTAATAATTTCAATAACATCAATCTTTTAATATATTGTTTAATTATTTGGTGCATTATTTATTTTGTTTATGTTATTTACAGCTGTTGGACAATTACTTTTTGGAGGTAAAATCTTTTTTTCTGATGAAAATTAAGTTCATTATGAATTAGCTAATTTTAATGATTTTTTATCTGGAATGTGTACATGCTGGTTTTTATTAATAATAAATAATTGGAATATAATATCTTTTAATTATGCAAAAATATTTAATTCTGATTTAGTTTACATATTTTTTATTAGCTTTTATATACTTGTTGTACTATTTACACTTAATGTCACTATGGCATTATTAATTGAATATATAGTTTAAAAGATAAATGTTAAAAATTAGACAGATATATCATCTTCAGAACCATAAGATGAAATGTTATCAAATTAATAGCCACTAAAATGAATTTTTATCTTATTTTTATTTTTTTAATTAATATAATAAATAAGAAGCTTATTTTAATTGAATCAATTTTAAATATAAATATTTAGACATATATGTATTCTTATATTTATTAGAGAATTCAAAATTTAGATAGCATTATATTAAATAAATTCGAAAATTCTAGAATTGATTTATTATAAAATATATAATAGTTTTGAAGCATTTAGTAAATTAGTAAAAATAATAATGATTGATAATCACTATGATATCCTAGGTATTAAGAGAGATGCAAAATAACTTTAAATAAAGAAAGCATATCATAAATTAGCCTTAAAATGGCATCCTGTATTTAATTATTCTAATTTTAGGATAAAAATAGAGAATAACGTGCATTTGCATTAGATTAGTT